CCCCAAAACCCCAAAACCCCAAAACCCCAAAACCCCAAAACCCCAAAACCCCAAAACCCCATAAAAATGATTAACAATTGAAATAATAGTTCATGAAGAACAAGGAGAAATTTGTGAAGGATTTTATTCAGGCCCATAACAAGCTCAGAACTGATCCACAGTCCTTTATCCCTATCCTTGAGGACTACATCAGTAGGTAGGTTCCATGACTGATGACGTTATCTAGATTCGAAGGGACCCTACTCAAGAGGCCTGGGAGGGCTAACCTCAGGACAAATGAAGGAATTCCGGCATTCGAGTAAATTTCATCAGAAATATCTCTAACAATATAGAGAAGCACTTGAGTACCTCAAGACTCAGGAGCCAGTCTGAGAGCAGACTTATTCAGAATGTCTCTCAGTCGTGGCTAAAGGCCATGCTCAAGATCTAGGTGAGAACAATATAACCGGACATTATGGGAGCAGTAAGTTCATCAGATTGTTGTCAGCCTTAAACCATTGTAATAGAAGGAAGCACCATGCAAGAAAGAATTGAGAAGATTTGACGATGGGAGGTTTCCATTGGAGAGAATATATCATACAATTGTCATGAAGGCCTCGAGACTGTAGTCATGCTCCTGGTCGATGATGGAGTACCAGATAGAAGCCATAGGATTAATATCTTTAAGCCTAAATATGAGTGACTAGGAATTGGTATTTATAAACACCCTAAGTGGAAAAATAGTGTTGTGATAAATTATGCAGGTGAAGCTTATTTCTTAAAGAAACCTTGCAAGAGCAGTAAAGTTAAGAAGTCTGCTATTCTTTCATCTGGATCAGCAGTCGAAGAAACTAAGGAAGAGGCTAAGAAAGTGTCAAAGGGTAAAAAGAGACTTAGAATGGTTTCAAAATCTCCTATTTCTAGACCAGCACAAAGAAAATTGCTTAAGTGTACAAAGCCAAGTACCAAAAAGTCAAAAATATCGAAGCCAAAAGTCACATCTAAGCCTTAAGTACGAATCATCCACAGTGAAAGGTTTATTTCAATAAGTAGGATCAATAAAGGGGTTTTGGGGTTTTGGGGTTTTGGGGTTTTGGGG